TCAATGACATGATTGTTCCAGAAGGAGAAGGTCCACATTCAGTACCAGGTACCTTGCTGGCTGCCTTCCAGGGAGGAAGGTTAGGATGAACTTTGCCCTGGGATGACTATTTCCTGTCACTGATTAACCAGATCTGTTGGGAGGCTTCTGGGCCAACATCCTTCCCTTCCGGAAAGAGGTATTTGGCCAAGCTTTGTGAGCAGAAAATGTCTACCCGCTACCACCAAGCTGCTAGTGATAGCTACCTGGAGCTTTTGAAGGAGGCGACCAAGCGCGATCTGAATCTTTCTGACGAAGATGGCATGACTCCCACACTCCTAGCAGCCTACCATGGGAATTTAGAAGCCCTGGAGATGATCTGCAGCAGAGGGTAAGCTCATTCCCATGGCTTAGATAAGAAACAGTATCAGTTAGAAAGATGAATAGGGGAGGCAGGAGTGGGGAGTGGGTGATAGGGAAGGAATGGGGGTTTCGGGAGTGGGAAATGAAGGCAAGAGTGGGGAGGGACCGTTAGAACTGACTGTGGTCACACATCTCATTGTAAAGGCCATTTCACCAGGGGGTGAGGTGGGGATGTTCTAAAATTGACATGGTAATGATTGTATGATTCTCCTTGATATGACTGAATGATGGATTGTATGATATGTAAATTATGTGCCAATAAAACTGCTTAAAAGATAAAATAAAATCCTGCCTGAGAATTTGCAATAAAGAAAGACAGATTAGAAAAGGTAGCATTTTGTAGATAGCCGGAAGAAGCAGAAAAATCATCAAAAATACTTTGCCTTCTTTTTATATTGTCCAAATAATTGGCTTTTTAAAGAAAGGGAGAAAGCTTTACCCACCGGGAACTGGTGTATCTCTTACGGCTTGGCCTTTGCCTACTTAAGCCATGTTCTGGGAGCAACTTGTGCTCCCCCAAAGCACAGTGCCCTGTCTTTAGGGAGAGTGTTCTTCCACCTTCAATGGAGAGATTGCATAACTCAAAGATCCTATAAGAAGGCCAGCACCTTCTTATCCTTCGATTTTCACCTTAAATGTGATATATATGCCACTAATTGTGTACTAAATAGCCTATTGGGTAGCATTTAAAAAAATCTCTCAGTATATCATGGTTATTTTTCTATGTCAATATATATTTTTCTGTGAGATATTTTTTAGGGATTTCTAAGTATCCTAGTCAACAAAATATATCTCTGAGTCAATCCCTCTTTTGAAAAAACTGTTTGTTTCTCTCAGTTTAAACAGTTCTGTTATATTACTTCCCTGTATATAAACCTTCCTTGAAGATAAATTCCTGAATCTATTGGCAAATTTTGCATATTGACAACTTATCTTTCAGAAAATACATAATTTAGCCAATCTAATAGGTCAAAAATGATTTATCAGTGTTGTCTTTTCTTCGGCTACTGGTAAGACTGAAAATTCTCTTTATGTTTAGTGTCCACGGCTGTTCTACTCTGGTGACTACATCACCTTTACCACTTTTATATTGGGGTTTTAGCATTTCTCTCTGATTTATAAAAGTGATTTTTAAAGTTAAGAATATAAAAAATGTAACATATAAAAATATAAATATTTAAATATATTATATATTTAATTATAATTAATTATATATCTAATCTTTTCCTATTTAAGTTCTGGCTTTGAAAACCAAACCAAACTCAACTTCCATCAGGTTAGTTCTAACTCGTAGCAACTCGACAGGACAGAGTAGAAATGCCGAGGTGGGTGTCTCAGACTGCAACTCTTTATGGGAATAGCAAGCCTTGTCTTTTTCCTCTGGCTTTTCCTCATTTATTTGACATAATAATATCATTTTCTCTCTTAATGTAGTATCAAAGCAGCCAATTTACTAATATGTATTAAGGACTCCATGAATTAGAATAGATTCAACAACAGCTGATTTTGTTTTTGGTCAAACACGGGATATGGGCACAAACACAGGAATAGAAATTCTTCTAACTCTACTTTCCTGGCCTTTCTCAGCTCCTAACTTCTTATTGATTGTCATGCATCTCTGGGTTTGCTTCCTTTCCCGTAGAAGCATTTTCTGTCTGCTACGTTAATTATTCTTGTCTCAGATTAAAACAAAACAACTCCAAACCTTGTGAGGGTTTTGGTAGGTTACCACTCATTTTAGCCATAGTCTGTCATCAGGAACGTGTGTTACATCAAAATTGTTGATTAGATTAAAATGGAAAAAAATATTAATTAATTTTTTTCCCTCTAATTAATCATGAAATTCATTCTAATTTGCTCACTTAACTGTTTTTCTGTTACTACATGTGTTAGTCTGGGTACATTAGAGAAACAAATCCACAGAAACTCATATGTATAAGAGAGAGTTTTATAGAAAGGGTAAGTGCACATCAAGAAAACATCCCAACCCAGTGCTTCCCAGGCCCACAAGTCCAACATTAATCCATATGTCCGACACCAATCCACAAAGTCCTCCTCCATCTCACAAAACACATGCAATGACGCCCACTACAGTAGGAAAGCTGAGTCAGTGAATGTGTAAGCATCTCAGCGCTGGCAGGGGTCTCCAGAGGGCTGCTCCAGCACCCAGGGCTGCATCTGGGTAGGTCTATGTGGTTTCTCCTCGGGAATGTCTTGCAGGAAGTGAGCCTTGCCAGCTGAAGCAGGGGTGTGGCTAAGGCAGCTGCACCCTGGTGCGACCATCAGAAAGCAAGAGACCCCAGAACTAGAAAGGTGATGTTCACGGAGCCATTTATCCCTCCGCCCTTCAATTAACCCCGCATGGGTTTATTGGCCAGGTTGGCACAATAAACTTTAACTATCTCACTACATGATGGAGACCATCATTGTCAAAATTGGTTCGATTAGAAAGCTGTGTTTCTACCTTCCTTTATCTTAATTTGATGATGTTGTTGTGTTCTATTGTGTCCATTCTGGTTTTAAAAGCCTTCTGTCACAGAATGGGACCTCTCCATAGAGTTTGCGCAGCTGTAAACTGTAAGGGATTTTTTTTCTCCTGAGGAACAGCTAGTGGGTTCAAATTGCAATCTTTTGTTTAGCATCTGAACATCGAGTCATTGTACCACCAAGACTTCCACAAGTCAGTGATGAAAATGAATAATAATAAAGATGGTCCCAATTACATTTTTTTTCCATTTGCCTTTAAAGTGAACACAATCTTTTTGTGTGCGTGTAGTGTTGTTTCTATTTTCTAAAAAATGGAAATTAAACTTTTTTCTTACTAAACCTGAAAGAACTGCCTATGTACTGTAAAGTTTTATATCAAATCAGAAGGATAGATATAATAAAGAAAAATCACTCTAAATTTTGCTTCACTAACATTTGAGTGCCTGTTCTGTTTAACCTTGCTGTTTTGAGTCCATGCACACACATGCACGTCCTCCTTGTCCTCTGTCCCTTAAAAAGGCAATCACATGACACGAACTTTCATATACTTGCTTCAAATTATTATGCAATAAATTACCTACTGTTTGCACTTAAACATTGAGATTCACACCACATTTTTAAAATTCCTACATTCTGTTTGAAAGTTTTGTCATAGCATATTTAATGAGTTTTTTGTTTATGACATTGAATTTGATTCTTTTAATCATGACAAAAGTCTCACCATTTCCTTAGAATAAATTCCTAGAGGCAGAATTGCTGACTCAGAAGGGTTCCAGGCTTTAAAAGCACATACTATACCTAGAAATTTGAACCAATTTATGCATTATCCAGCATCGTTAAATGCCCCATACTCTTGCCCAAATTGAGTGTGATTGTTCCTTTCAAGCGTTGCTTATCTGATAGACAAAGGAATAGGTGGTATATTGTTTTAATTTGCATTTCTTTGATTCTTACTGAGACCGAATCTTCTTTCTTAGGTAGAAAGACATTTTTGAAAGAATAATTTTGTTCTGAGAACTACACACACACACACACACACACCATGAAATAAACTTCAAAAAGAGAACATGGAATGAAATCGATGCTCAGAGTAATTTAATAAACACAAATTATCTATTCTGTGGCACTAATAGCAAACCAGTTTTAAAACTGATGACCCCAATGCAGAACAAAATGCGAGTGGGGAAAACAAGAACACAACCACAACTCTCCAGTGTGTGTGTTTTAGAAAATAAAGACTAAATAAACACTAGATTCAGTTCAGTCCAATGAAATTGTGCAGCATCAATGTTAGATTCAGATGATCAAAAAGGGAACCAGTTTGAGACTACCCGGCAGATATAGGTAACGATTCTATGGAGAAATGTGGACAAGGGCAAGGATCAAAAACTATACGACTATCTTAGATTAAAATATAGTGGGATCCAGTGAAATTAGTCAACAGAAAATACATTTGGTTATGTTGTTGCCTGTACACAGAATTTTTGCAAGTGGAAACAGCTTCCTTAAATGTATGAGGAAAGCTCCCTCTGTAAGTCTGAATTTTTGCTTCTGAAATTTTCTTGAAGCAAGAACCACCTTTGGGGTCATCTCAGGCTTTCTGCTGTTCCTCTCGTCTTGGAAGCATCATTTCAGATCCACTGAGATGAGTACCCTCCCCCCCATTCTTTGTCTTTAAGAATGTAGCATTAACCCCAGTTCCTTAAAACCCTGCAACATACCTGCTCCCAACCACGTTTAAAACGGATCCAAGTCAGACAAATATAATCCGTATGTTTGTGTATGTTTCTAGCAACATCTTGGATGTTATACAATAGCTCTTTGATGCCTTGGGTATTTAAGGAGTCTTTTGAATATTTTGTTTGGTCTAAATAAATAAAAAAGGGAAACCACAGCTCTGGGGGAAAGCACTATATGCCTCTTAGATATACAAGTGTGCCAAGACTGAAGGGGCCTGCCTTCTTCTGATCCGAAACAATGAAATCAGGTTGAAGGACCTGGTTTTAAATTGGACACTCCCAACATAACTGTGATTGTTAATATTTGCTTCTTTGGGTTCACTTTCCTCTTCTTTCCCTCTCCTTTCTACTCCGCTCTCGTGCCCTCAACTCCATGCCCTCCCCTCCACCCCTAGTCACACTGATATTTATTCCTGGCCGTATCATCCATCTGTGTATTTGTCTGTGATGTTTTCTCTGCTTCTGGGGAGGTTGCCAACTGCCAGATGAGGGGTAGGATCTAACTGTGCATGTGTTTATTTGGACTTCACTGTATTTTTCTTTTAAATTTGAGCCAACATTTGCACATCACAAAATTTCACGACAAAATTTTATTTTGTTTGGAAAGGGGAAGTTTTGCCAGTGTTGTGTCTGTTTTCGTTCAAGGTAGCCAGAGCCAAGTGAGAGCTGCTCTTTCGAGGTGGGGCTTGCTCTCACCTGTGACGTCATTAAAAGAATAAAAGATGAATCACTTACTCATTTT